AAGAAAATTTGCTTAACTGCCTTTTCTCCTTTTAATTTACAAACTAATTGGGGATAAATAAATCACTGAAAATTCTATGTGTCATATTTGTATACAGAATTTAAGGTCTCGTAAATTGGAAATCTATTGTTATGATTGTTTGATTTAGTAACAGCTCTGTTTAGCTTTATGGTTTTATATATTTGTCTTTGACCATACAGATACCCTACATGTGTAATGCAAAAAGGTGCAATTTACGGGGCAATATTTTTGCATACTTTTGGAGAGAATTTATCCACTTTCTAGCATTGGTCAATCAACTACTTTCATTTCCTATTTCTAGACACATTCTGTAGCCAATATACATATTTTATCCACCTCCCAGCGATTAATAACTGTATCTACAGGCAATAGGGTAGGTAGATAGATAATATATACAGATTAGTTAAATAATATGCACAGAACTAGGGAGTGAAAGGTAGTTAATTTAATGATGCTGGAAAATGTAGAAATTCTCCCCTAAAATGCACAAAAGATATTGCGCCGTAAATTGCACCTATTTTGCATTAGGGGATATGTAGCATTCTGATCAAAGAAAAATATATAAAACCATAACACTACAGATCTACATCTAAGCTCTGTTTTGCTAGCATTTTGTCATTATAGTTGGAATACCGATGCAGATTATCTTAAGGGGAGACAAATCAGTGACAAACTTCATTGAGAATTTAAAGAAAGGGAAGACAACCATGTACCATGCCTCTGGGATGATAGTAGGGTGTGCTGGTAGTGGTAAAACAACATTGTTAGAGAGACTGAAGGGCATTGACTTGGAGAAAATAAAGAAAAATATCAGTTCAACCCGGGGAGTCGATATCCACACAGATGTCTTTGATGTAACAGATAACATCCAAGGTATTCTTTATTGACTGGGTTCAATGTTTGTTATAAATTGCTATTGTATGATGGAATTTAAATTGAAACAAAGTGGATCATGGATCATTTCACTAGAGTCATATTAATTTACAGAGTACAATTAAAAAAAATCTAAATACTATTTAAACAAATAGACCGTATTAAGTTCTTCCAAGCCAATAGCCCAAAGAGCTAATGTTACAGCCATTGTGTAGTATATGTAAACTTTTAGCTCACCTGAGCCGGAGGCTCAAATGAGCTTATCTGATTAAAATTTGTCCATGTTGTTGTCAATGTCGTTGTATTAAACTTTTCACAATTTTATCTTCTTCTCCAGAACCACTGAATCAATTTCAACCAAATTTGATTTAGTTTGTTAAACAACGGGCCCCACTTTCATTCAAGAGGAGACAGATATTTGTATGCCCACTCTCGAAGAAGGGAGGGGGTACTACTTTGCTGCTGCTGGTTGGTCTGTATGTCATCTTAGTTTCTTTGTAACATGAATAAAAGCGTAAAAATATCAATATAAGAAACAAAATATCACTTTTAGAGTTTTATTGGGTTATGACATGAAGTCGGTACATAATCCAATCTACTATAACGCCCTTGATTTATAAGTTTGATCACATGACGACCTCATGTAATACCCCAATGAAACTCTAAAAATGATAGCTTATTTCTTGAATAAAAATGGATCATACTCATTGATATCTGCGGAATATCATTATTTGAGTTAAGTGCTTATAATTCATCTATATTATATTTTTAGTTTCATTTGTATTTAAAGTAGACTAGAGGTCTATTTACAGGGACAAAGAAGTAAGAAGGCCTTTAAAATGTGCTCATTTTTATTTACAGCAAATTCTTCAAAACAACAACAACGCTTTAAACTTAAATTTGATAAAAATTATCTGCACCAGAGTGTTCCTGATTACCATTCGGAAAATGTAGCTGATGATGAGGAAACGCAGGAAACGATGGAAACACCTGATGATGAGAGTCATGTCATTCATGCATCAAACAGTGGACAGATATCACGAGATGATACCGACATTAAAACTACCTCATTCTCTCCACAACAAGGTGCCATATCAACTTCAAATTTAGCAGAAGCTACGAAGGAAAACAAAGATATTGTTGGCCCAAATAATCCAGGAATTTCAGGAAATTTGCAGATTGATTCAAAAAACATTTCAGAATACCCAGATAAGAAAATTACAATGACTGACTTTGCAGGACAATGTTCATATTATGCCTCACACCAGGTTTTTCTGAGTCCACGAGCATTCTTCATTCTGGTGCTGAATATGGAGAAAAATTTCGATGATAAGGTTGGAGAAGAAGTGTGTTGTCAGGGAGGCTCCATTTATGAAAAGTGGACACACAGAGGTTTGTTTCCATTGCCTTACATTGGGTTTGGTTGCATAGTTTCTTTAGCATAAGCAATGCAGTCTGTGATTTAAAACTCTACTTATTTCATATACAGATTTAAATCAAGATAGTGAAGGACTCTTTCATAATTATTAACTGCTGTTTAATATATAGTCGTCTCTTTATTGAGTGAATTGATATCTAACGGTTAAAGATAATTGCATGGGCTTGTGTGAGGAAAATGTCTCTATCTCCATGTTTGTTTGTCTATATGTCTGGAACCATTTTTTGTTTTTTTTTTCAAAATGTTTCCATTGTTAAAAATGTTGTTGAAATAAAACTTAAAATACTCTTAAGCTTAATTCAAACATTGGCATCGGAAGCATAATAAAGGGGATATTTAATTGTGTGTGGGGGGATGGGGGGGTCAACTAACAAAGAAGGTAACCTCCACTTTTCAATGCCTTTATATTGTTTGTCTTTGTCAGTAAAGTGTAATTAATTATGGGAGGGGGGGGGGAGTAACCCCCACTTTTCAATGCCTATATGTTGTTTATCTCTCCCTAGCCTCTGCCTTGCCTCTCCTTGGTTCCGATGTCAGAGACAATAATTTTGCAATTTTAATGTTTGAAGTCTTCTTTTTTTCACAAATTTACTGAATGTTTGACTTAAAGTAAACTTTGATATATGTAGTGAAATCATTTAAACATTGTCCTACATAATTAAATGAAAGTCAAGAATATATATTTCATGTATCCAATATGTGGAGCAGAATGTTTTTTTAATTGTAACATTAACTTATTTACTAACTAGATTGTTTTAGATTTTTGATTATTTTATGGTATGATGAAATATTAGTACATTTAGATTGGCTGTAGAGGTTGGAGTCCCCGAGTCATTTTGTCATAATAATCTGTTGTTTTTATGAGTGAAAATTTCCCAATTAAAATGTAAAGCAACGTACAATCAATAAATCTCTCCATGATCTTATAAGACTAATACATGTACTGGTATTATGAGTACACATAGTGATAAGCAAATTGTTTGATTTTGTCTTCATTTCATTTACAGATTATCTTGAGTTCTGGATGAAGTCCATTCACCAATACAGCAATGAAATGGCCCCTGTTCTGCTGATTGGTACACATAGCGAGAAAAAAACGGAAAAGGTATTTGTTTCTTCATTTTACAAGTATATTTCTCGTGCTACTAGCCTACAGAGACCAAGTGACCTTGTGTGTTAGTACGGTGTTTGTCGAACTCTCTGTTCAAATGTATATGAAAAAACTAGTCCTCCCACAGTTTTGGTCTGATTTCAATATAACTTGGCACAAACGTAGATTTAGATACATCATACATCATTCTATATAATGGTTTTTGATTTTGAAATACGATTTTGTTTGTTTGATAACTCAAAGTTTTTGTGAATTTTTCTTGCAAAAAGTTCCTTTTCCTACAGTTCTGATCTCTATTTTGATGAATGAAAATGTCATGGCTACTAAAAATAAAATTTTCCGTAAAATTTATTTGAAAAGCTATTCCAACAGTTTAAGGATTTCAATCCCAAAGAAAGAATTCTGTATAGCTTAAAATCCGTTACTACACAATACTTTGATATAATATTAGACCATTTTATAGTGTAAAAGGATTGCCTTCGAGAAATTTTCAAAAAGATCATAAATTAAGCAGTAGGTAATTAACAAAGATTGCATTGACGTCTATGGGGAAAAGCGTTTTTTCAAAAAAGAAAATCAAATAATTTGAATATCAATTTTCTTGGATTTAATGATCAATGAAATATTATAATATAAAGTATACAATACCTGCTAAATTTTTTATAAAATATTAATGGATAACTCTCATCAATACTCAAGGTCACGACTTTGAAATGTCCACTAAACAAATTATACTAATAAATGGGAAGTATTCTTAAACTTGAAATTTTCAGACCCTAAATTCTTTTTTCTTCAAATTTCAAAGAATTTCTTGCTAAATAAAACCTTAAGCATGGTAATCCTTGACAACTGTCAGTGAAAGAATTTTATAAAAATTTACTGCCAAGGCTCATCTGATGTAAATGAGTAAAGTTTTTATGTTAAATCTTCCCCAATCATTCCAAACATTAAATAAGGAACCCTCAGGTTCTTGGTATCAAGATCTTATAAATTTTAGTAAACTTCCTAAAATGGTCATGAAAATTATAAAATTTATAGATCTAAAATAAAATATTTGTTTTGGCTTGATGTGTAATTTTGTTAATCACTTTGGTCAAATTATATCCCCAAAGTCTTTGTCTTTTTGGATATCAAAATTCAAAAGTTGAAAAAACAGTTAGGCACAAAAATAATCCTTTTTATTTGTTGACAATAAATATCATTAATTTTCGCTTCAGAAGACTCGTGAAGAACAAATAACAATTTTTGTCCACAACAAAGTGATACAGGCAGAAGTTCCATACATTCGTTACTAAACCCTATTTTTCCTTTATTCTGTAAATAAATAAAATATTAATATAAAAAAATTATTATATTTTAATTCTTTTTATAATGTAGTTCATGAATTTTTCTACTTTTTGCACTGTAAATTTATTGAAATCTTTCATTATTATATATCACGATTAAAGCGTATTAGTTCAAAGGTGACTTCAAACAGATCTTAACTTCCAGTCAGGAACTGCTGTTTATCAACAAGGTTTTTGGTATTGTATGCAAGGATTGTTGTTATAAAAAAATCAATTCAAAATTAATTTCTATAAATTTGTATGACATACTTTTTTTAAAGATTTTGTGTTTTTTTTAATGGCTTTAACTTTGATTTAATTATAAATCAATCTAAAAAAATTATTTATAAAAAAAACTGGTATCTCTTAAAGATAACATGTGTGATCTGACAGTGTGTTGGATAGCAAATTAATTAAAGCCTGCATACTCTTCACATATGAAATTTACAGTGTGAAGTTTTTTCCCAAAATTGTCCGTAAATAGCTAGATAAATTAAGGGTAATCCTTGATCATTAGTTATTGTAATTTCTTAATACGGTATACTCTGTTATTTTCTTTTTATGTTAAATCTTTCGCCTTTTTGCATTTGCAAACAGTCTTGGTATCATTTTAAGGTTAGTCACTCCTCAGGTTTTAAGAAAAGTTTAAGAAATTATATTCAAAATTACTAAAAAAAATTCAATTTTTATGACATATTTATATAAAATACAGTAAATTTTTTAACATTCAATTAGATACTGCTCAAAAATCAACAAAGAAGCAAGGTTTATGAGGGACTATTTCTTTTGGTGGAAGGATATTTAGCAGAAAATTCTGCAAATCTGCACATTTATAAAATTTAATGTAATGGAAATTTAGCCTCACATACTTTTACTTGGAGAATATTTTCCGTTTTAATATTGCTAAAAATATTTAATATAGGTCTTAATTGATATTTTTAGACTAAGTTTTACACCTTCCCTTGACAAACTTTCCCAAAAAATGAAAATATATGAAAGAAGTCAGGGTCAAATTTACACCATTTTTAGCCTGAAAATCACATATTGACAAATATTTTAAAATTAACATCACTGACCCCACCATTTTCTTTCATTATTTTAAACTACTCGATACTTGTGACTGATCAGCACTCAAGTCGCAAAAAATTTGAGAGCAAAATTGGAGAAAAATAAAACCGGGGCGAAAATTTCCCTGTATACAGTATTCAGATACATGATAAAAAGAATTACTGAGTATTTATTATTAAAGTGTATTTTCAGGAGATTATGTCTTTTTTCCATGAAATATGGGCTACTCTTGAAATGAAGGACAAGACCTTGCACAGACATCTCCATGAGGATAGACAGTTTGCAGTTGGATTCCATGACAATGAAAGCATTGAGAATATTAAGCTCTCTATCGTTAAAGTTGTGCAAAATCTAAATCACTGGGGAGAAAAACTTCCACTCTCATGGGTCATGTTTGAAAAATTCTTCCAGGAAAAGAAATCCCAGAGGATAATGAAAGAAATGCTGCTGGCTTTCAATGATGCCTTGCCAACAGGTATAAAGCTCGAAACGGTTAATGACATTAATATTATGCTGCAGTTTTTCCATGACATCAGAGAAATTTTATACTTCAACCAAGAACTTCTTAATGTTGTAATCATTCTTGATGTGCAGTGGTTTGCAAATTTATTTAAAAATGTAATAACAGATAGAAATCATGCAGAAAAGGATTTATGTAGGTTTGCATCAGACTGGAAAAAATTTGATCAAACTGGAGAATTAAATGACACTTTGCTTACAGCTATCTGGGAAATGAAGGGAATAGCTTTCAGTGAACACAAAACAAATGTCAGTGCTCTGGAGAAGCAGTTATTAGCAAAATTGGATGACAAAAAATGGTATGTTCCCTGTATGAACAAAATGCCATGTCCTGACAATCTCTTTTCTTCATGCCCTACCTCATCCATTTTCTGCTACGTGTTTGATGTTCTTTCCTGTTGGCATTTTTCATCAACTTGTAGCTACATGCTTGCAAATTCCCTGGGAAATTGTTACAGAGAGAGGGAGACTATGTATATACCAGACAGCAGCTGTTTTCTTGTTTAAGGGTCAAAACATATTGCTTGGAATGACTCCCAGGGAAATTCAGTTACAGGTGTTTGTTATTGAAGGGAGAGTTGAGATGTCAAAATGCCAGGAAATTAAGGCAGAAATTGACCGTATGCTTAATGTTCTTTCCAGAACTTTCCAAACTGACTTTCGATTTACGTTTGGGTTTAAATGCAAAGCTTCAGGATTCTGTGATAGCCAAGAAAGTTCTGTGATCAACGAATCAGAATTTACAAAGGCAATTTTTCAGTGTCCTTCCTGTCCAATAGGGAGAAAGCACATAATCAACTCAAAGAATATCACGAAATATTGGGTACAGGTACATGTATTTTATTGTAATAGTTGTTCTAAATCATAAAAAAGAAAAACTGGAAAATCTAGTTACTGTAGAAATTTATGATATTGATCATGGCTTAACTCTTGTAAATATATGTTCTTCAGTTGGCTACATGGGTAATATCTGTATTTCAGAGACTTCAGTCAATTCAATTAAACATCATAAACTTTTTAGAAAGTGCAGCATTCAAATCGATTGTAGAATTAGTGTTTCAAATAATGGACAAAAAAATTAGTACTGCAATTTTAATTTTCAATAAAGAGGAATTTTTTTTACAAAAAAAAAGAATAAAAGAGAAAGATCTTCATTGATAGTAAATACAAGTTGTTTAAGGTACTCCGATCCTCAGGTTCTGAAATCAAGCATTGACTAATTGAAAATGCTCACAAAAATGTCTCTGAATTTTCAAAGTAACGTGTTTTTACCCACAATAACTCTTTAAAATTCATCTTTCAAGTTAATCATATTATATAGAGAAAATTAATAAATCTTGAATATAATTTCTGGAATTGCGAATTAAAACACCTGCTATGCATTTTCCAATTCAAATTTGATCAATTAACACATTTTAAAAATTAAAATCATAGGTATCCAGGCTTTTGAAGAAATTCCACAATTTTTACACATATAATGTACTTTAATTTCTCTTATTTACTTCGATCATTTTAAAATTCAAAGTTTATAAAGATTATCCTGTCATTGTGGAGCACCATCAATCACTTCTAATTTCATATTATATTTTAAAACATTGGTATCTATGGTTAGATTGAAATGAACATCAATTTCTTGATATATGTAATTTTAAAATACTTATACAGGGTAAAATTTTCGACTTTTTATTAGACCTTTCTGAGAAATTTAAAGAGCCTTGAAGCACCTCAGGAGGTATATAATGAAAATTGTTGCATGAAAAGTTTAAATTTTTAAGCTTCATTTTGAGACTTTTTGAATTAATTTATAAATTAAAGAGTTGTCCTTCCTGGCTTAGATTTAGCGAAGTCCCTTAAATAAGAAGAAGGTATGCATGGTTTTAGCTTTATTGCGCCCTAAAAATGTAATGACATCAAAAAGTTTTGAAACTGGCTTGAATATTAGTTAAATAAATGACTCTGATAAATCAGGAAAGAATATGGCATGAAGGTTAACCATTCTGCAAATATGACGTCATAAATGTGAAGCATTTCTCTATTTTCAACAGAAAAAGCTTAAAAATGGCACATTTCAAGAGTAATTTTCCTGTAGAAGACAGTGTCCACAGCCGTCTCCCATGTTAATTTTCTGATATTTTGTGCAAAATTCAATAACAAATCATATATCTCAAGATCTTTGTGGGCGATGCCTGTGGACAATGTCATCTGAAAGAAAATTCCATTGAAAATTGGTGTCTTCTGCAACTTTTCAAGAAAATACGGGAAAATGCACATGTTTATGACGTCATAATTAGCATATAAAAACACATGTGTGAAAAATGACTTGTATGATTTTTCTGCATTGAATTTCAATTATTTAAAAAGCATGAGTTTTCAACTTTTACACGAGTTTCATTTTTTAGAAAACCACAGGGCAAAATTTGTATGGAAACCATACCTTCTTCTTTACTAAAATAAAGAAATTGGATGATATTAGAAAAATAATCCACATTGGTTTATAAAGAGCTTTTAGAGAAATATATAAAATAATTATGCAATTTAGATTTATACTTGTTCAAATCATAATTTCTACATTGAGTAGGGAGGGCAGAGAAAACAATGTACGTTTGGTTCATTTTGGATTAAATACTAGTAAGCGTTTTAGATATTTTTCTTAAAGTGTGTTCATTTCTTTAGCATTTAATAGATTTGTAAGTATTAGTGTTGGCAACAAGTACCCGGTTAACCGGTTAACCGTCGAATGATGCGAGTATCGGTTAATAAAACTGCTATTCGGTTACTCGGATAAAATGCATCTTATTTCGTAAATAATTTTAAAAATATATTTTTTTTATGAGACTAAACGTAAATATTTCTCTACTTTTATTTACCGTTAGAATTAATGATCTAGTGATTCACTGATATGAACGATTTGTTTCGATTGTTTTTAACAGTTAATTGATAGCTTTGATCGTCAGCAGGTTATACAAGTTTTGAAGACCTGAATTATGATGACCTTATTAAAAAATTTAACAAGGTGCCACCAAAGACATATAAAGCTTGGAAGTATTTATAAAGAACTGCTGATTCGATTCCTGTGGAATGTAATTTTGAATTGGAGTCATCGTGTACAGCTGTGACTTCAAAATTCTAAGCAATTATTCTCCTTGATCATTACGTATATCGGCGGTCAAAAATTATCTATTTTTCTTCTTCTGATTTAATTTTTTTTAAACTATAATTACATATATATCAAAATTCTTTCTTTTGCATGCGCGTGTATCTTTAATGAAGTTTTTAAGTAAAGATCATTCACAATACATCTGTGTTTTATTATGCCGATGAGCAAAGGATGAGATAAATGATATATGAAAATGAATAAATCATCCGAGTAACCGGGTACTCGATCGGAAGATTGAGCGAGTAACCGGTTACTAAAAATTGTCCGATTTGCCATCAAGTATATGTATTTTTGTCAATACAATAGCTGAAAATCTTGGGCAATAATCCAACAGTTGGGCATTTTAATTAATAACTTATTGTTTTCACGTAAACAGTCATTTGTATTGCAAGAAATACATAATTATATAATGTGAGAGTTTATCAAGTGTTTGTTTCATATCGTTTCACTGTTTTGCATTCAGGAAATTTTGTTTGTAGCATTATTAAATCTTATATGATCATTCATAATGAGCACAACAGTTTTAATGTCATTATTTTCATGTTAAAGGTATATCATGATGAAGTTGAGCCCTCGGAAGTTAAAGGTATACCTAATAGTTCACCGTTAGAGAGTGTTGGACCAAGTGAATCACATCCAAAAGGTACCTCAACTAAATCTGAGATTAAATTCTTTTTCACGTTATCCTCGATTTAATATAGCACAGGTTATACAATATTAACGACTAGTTTTGATGTACATATTAATATTTCCAATCAACGAATATAATTATGTCATGCACGAAGGTATGTATGTAAATTCTCATTAAAAATGACAGACTTACCATTAAATTTGTAAAAAAGGAAACTTATTAATAAGTTTAAACTTTGCACTGCTTTGAAGTGACCTATAGATAAGTCCATTAAAAGTAAATCTCTTGACAGACCCACACCCTTCTTTTATTTCGTGTGTATCCTGTATACAAATTGAAATGCATGTATAAAACAAAATCAACCTCAAACAATTACATACAAAAGTAAGCTTTAAGAACAATCGTTTACTGATTATTGATCAGAAGTTTTTATGAGAGAAAGGTAAATGCTTTTTCTCGTCATAAAAGATTAAGTAAATTCCCTTTTATTTATTTTTTTTATTCGACATGTTGGAGAAAGATTGAAATGATTTCTTTTTTCTTTCATTTACTATAATCATACATGGTATTCATATTTACTATAGTGTCATTAATTAACATACTTGGGCTTTATTTATATAGATAATTTAGCCAAGATAGTAAAGTTATTGCAAGTTGGAACTGATGCAGTAAGAATCTGCTTCGATAAATTCCTCCCTAAAGAGGAGTTAGAGAAGACTCTGAAAGCCAATGAAACAGACATGAGAAGAGGACAGTTCCGATTCCAACAACCTCAACTAGAGATTCTCTTCCCTCCTCAAGGTACTTATTGGTTTTCTTTCTTTAATGATAAAAATTATGCTTCTTAAAATATTTTTGACAATGAAAAATAATGGTCTGTTAAAAGATTTTTGTTATGATTAAGAACAATTATGTACAATGCACTACATAATGTATCTCCTTTAACAATGAAAAAAATAAAATTTTTTCTCGAACCCAGAAAATTTTACCCTAAAAAAGTTATAATTTTACAGTATATAACACATTCTGAGGTATAAGAACAAGAATCCCTTATTCCATAACTGTCCTTTTCAATAGAAAAATAAAAGAAGAACAAAAAAGCAAACAGAAAATAAAAGTAATTGCCTAAAATGTACGTGAAGACCACTGTTAAACATTTCTTTATCAGTTATGAACGGGAATTTGAAAGTATCAAGAATTTACTCTGCAATTTTTGGTAACAATCGTATTGTAGGGACTGAATAACCAGTTAATTAAAAAAATAATGACTGCTATCAAAGTATGACGGAGAAATATATAATTAGGTTCATACCAGTTTTTTTCGGGAATTTTACTATAAAAGGGAACAGATATTTCTATAAACTATGATGACATATGTTTGATCATGACTTCAGGAAATAAAGCAAATGCTTAATTTTCATTATTTATCCAGGAAAAAGAGAAAAAATGTCATTTATGAAAATATGGATTTCATTTTTCTGTTTAAACAAAAAAAAATCCGAATAGTTTGTTACGGCAAAGAAACAAAAAATGCCAATAACTTGTTTGAAACATTATCTATTATAAAGTCTCTGTTAATTAATATTTTTTTTACAAAAGCATGTATGCACTCTCAAATTTAACGTGAATTTTAAAATATAATCTTTTACTTAAAGATCTTAAAAGTGGTTTCAAATAGCAAACTCAATTAATTTAATTTTCCTCCCTTGAAAAAGAGAATAACTTACAATTGATTCAATCCGACCATAAGTCATAAAACTAGGAATCGTCCGTCATTCAACAACAAAATGATATTCATTTCCACACGATATCTTGAGAACCCTTTGAGCTTTTGAATGAAATTTTGCATAGCAACTCCCTATGGAAGACAGAAGAACCCTATTGCAGTTTTGAGTTCAATGAATTATATAGCCGTCGTGGTGTTAATGTTCGGTCAATTTACTCCCCTGTGATATTCAATACAAACTTTCGAACCAGTCTATATAAACTCAAAAAAAACTTCCGCAATAAAAATAGTCGATCTCATTTTTCTAATTAGATCTTATTTTCATAAATGATTTAAAAGTAAATGAAATAGAATTTTATTTAACTTAATTTGTGTAGCATATTTTTGTCATCTCTCTTGAGAGTAGAAATGACACGCAAATTTTGATTTCAGTATGAAAAAAAGTCCCAGCTTTCCTTCATTTATCATTCGGAAATCCCGCCCCGTTTGACTCCACTACGTATCTATTTTACAAAAAGTGCGAGGTCAGCCATGGAGCATGAAGGAAAGTCTAACTGGTTTAAACAATAACGCGATTGTCTAAATAGAGAGAAATAAACAAAATGTAAGGTCAAAGGAACGCTAAGGTTTAATCCAACTTCTTTCAATTTGTATCATCAATAAAGAGACAGAACAAAAAAATCAAAGTACTGAAAGTAATGAAAGCGGTATAGCATGCTTTCATCGAATTTGTACAGTGTACAATAACAAACAATGCATTCCAAGTAGGCATGCATATATTTTCCATGTGTCATGCTAGCAAGAAGCAGACACAATGAATTTTGTAGTACTTAACTAAATGGTATAACCAATAATTTCCCAGACTGATGTCACACATGTATGTTTCAAAATATCAACCTGCGATTTTCAGTCTGAAAACAAAGTTGAAATCACAAAATTTCTCCCTAATTGTCTCCATTAGTGGCGTCCAAAAGTGCCAGAACGAAAAAAAAAAATTATGTTGATGTTGCAAATTTTATTGGCTTTCATTCTCTATTCATACTGAAATTGGGTAACTGTAAAGGCTCTGTAGCAAACAACTGAAAAAGAAAATAACATGATACTTCCAATTCTTTAGATTAATTGATTTGGAGTACTGTTTTAGATCTTTAGCTGGCTAGTCTGAGAAAAACGGATGGACGAGCAGAGAATTTTTTACGGTAATTTCAGAGAGCTTCAAGTTCCTAACTCACTGCGGGTCAGCAGGTGGGTTCATTCTACCTATTCCCACTTTTTGAAAATCAATTTTTTGAAAACAAAGCTTTTATCATCTTTTGAATAATTTCAATTGATAAAAAAGGAGAAGAAAACAAACGTTTCATTATGGAAGTAATATAAACTGTACAACTTACAGATGTATTCTTTTTATTTTTATATAAAGGCTTTCTTCGTGTACTAGTCTTACCTAAGTTAATTAAAGGGATGCCTTAATATTTTGGAAAAAAAGTCATCAGAGATTCTCCGATGTTTTGCAGTCAAATGAACCTTAAACCCCTTTAGCCTGCAGTAATTAATTGTCCTCCCTGTGCCCAGTTGGCATAATTCACTCAAAAATTTATTGTTCATGTGGGGTGCCTTATAATTAATCACAGGCACCTGAATTTTTTTCAAAAAGTCTCTAAATTAGCCAATATTGGCAACATTCTACTCCCTCTATATATAAAATACACAAGGTAAATCCAACGCCATTTTGACCACCTGTTTGATTCAGGCTTAAATTTAACACATAAATCGGAAATGCCTACTGGTTTTCGTGTACATTGGGTTCAAATGATATTTCTCGCTATGCATTTCTTCCTAAAGTTTAATTCTAACACGTTGATAATGTTATCTGCTAAACTTCATGCTGACTTTACAATTTCGTCACAGGGCGCGATCGCCATCAGCTGATGTCACGGAAATTTAATCTCGACACCAAAGGCTCCTATACATAAACTTTTTTTAATACAACAATTATAGATTTATTTCATTGACAAACAAAATCAGAAAAAAAATAAAAAACCGAAAGATTATGTTGTTTTCGATGGCCATGATTTTATTTAACATATGCTATGTGTGTTTGAAACAAATCATAGGTACTAGGTAGAGGCTTTGGAATTAATTATTTAAAATAGCGCTTTTGTCTGCTGTCAGAATTAGAAGCTGTGAAATACATGTAACGTCCAAGAAAGGTTTTACCCAACTTCTTTCCGCTTAAAAATAAAGAGAAAATATCACTTTCGTATTTATTTGCTCTGAAAAAAATGATCTGTTAGACTGGAAATTTTTTGTCAGACCAGATACATGTATGCAACTCATTTTTTTACGTTGGTAAAGGGAAAAAAATTTAAATGCTATTCAAATTTGTTGATTTTCGATTTCACAATTTCAAATGACATTAATTTTGCATCCTTAATTTCATGAATTTATCAGCATTATTCAACTGGTCATGTGTACAACACTAAATCTGAACTTGAAAAATGTCAACAATGTAAAAAATTAAAATGCATTGCAGTAATACCTTATAAAATGTGTAATTTGATTTTATTATATAATTAAAACAATAGAAATAAAATACATGGGAATATGGACACAGTGGTATAATAATCCAAATGATCGATCTGTGAGAAAGATAGTTCCTCATGATTGCAACTGGTTTTTTTTTCTTGTTAAATAATGTCTGATTTTTAATTACATTAGAATCAAATCAAAATCACAAACATTAAGTGTCACTCGCGTGGCGCAGTTGTTAAAATAGTTTGCTCTAGAGATTCAAAGTAAGGAGTTGATCCTTACGTCGCAGGTTTGGATCCTGCGGGATGCATTTGGAGATGAACTCTTTTGAGGAGACCATATAAACCGAAATCCCATTTCGCAGTATGTGTTGGCACAAAACGACCCCTCACTGCTCAATGGTTCTGAGTGCTGTGTAAAGGTACAAATTTGTAAAACTACATGAAGCTAGCATCATCGGCAAGTGGTAGTGTTTCAATATGAGTGAAAAATATCGATCGTAAAACAAACAAAATGTAAAGTATTCAGACATACTTACTTCTATATAGAAATTACTTGAAATGAAATTTAAAAATATAGAATAAATACTTGATGATTAACTTATAAAGATAGACACATTTGATAGAAAAGATAAGCACAGAATTCTATAAAAATCAATTATTGTATCCGAAAAGAACAATTCATACCAAAAAGAGAATACAGTGTAACAAATGTTTGTTTTAATCAGAGGAAGAAAAATGACAATCTAGTGTCTGGTGATGGAAACATCAAATATAAAGAGTGTTTGTTTGTTTGTTGGGACCAAATATTTTGTACACATTAAAAAAAAAGTAGGGGGGGGGGTTGATTCAAATGCCTCAAAATGTATATAAGGGTAGTGTTTGAGTTTAAAAAATAAATGGTACTGAAAGAAGTTTGAAACCTAAAAATATAAATAAGATTATTTTCGAGTTTGGAAAAATTATTTTTTGACAAAAACCCCATGGGGGTTGTTTGTTTGGTTTGGTCAAATTGTTGAGGTAAGAATTAGAAGAATAAATCCAGAACTAAACTTAACTGTTCGTGCGCAATAATTATACAGTTTTTTCAAAATGACTGATAGACTGCTGGTATGTCAGAATTTTTTTTTTCAGATAATTAGCAATATCTTTAAAACCCCAGCATCAAGCCCAGTGGTTCTAAAGCAATAGAAATTATTTTAAAGATTTTGTGTTAAATATTTTATGTAAAACAAATTCTCTACTTTGGCCCAGCCCTACCCCTGAAAGACTGGAACATTTTCAAATCTTTACTTCATGGATGCTTCCACACAAACAATTTTCTAACTCAGTGGTTCTTCAGTACTTTGTTTTATTGAGAAGAAATTTTACATTATAAGTAATGTTTTGCATGGAGTCAATGTTTTTTCATATCAATAAAATAGTGTAACCAACAAAGAAAAGAATAAACCTCTTTTTTCAGTTTTTGTGCTGAAAGTGAAACCATCAATGTAACAAAAAGACATTTAAAATTAATGTACTATATAGATAAAAAAATATACTAAATCTTTATTTTCAAACAATTTTAAAGCTATTGTTTTTCCTATGTTTATGAAATTAGAAGATATAAGGTTGCAATTATTGTATTAGCAGAATTTGATGAGCTAAAAAATTTAATTATTTTGCTTATTGACAATGAAATTCAAAACCCGATATACTCCAGGGCAAGTTAGGTTGTACATATAAAGATGGATTGTTTCAATATACTGGTATGAGGAAGAGTTAAACCTTTATTTCTACTTTATCCATCTCAGACATCCATTTGTAAATACATGTTTAAGCAATATATTTTAAAGACTTCATCTTTACACTTTTATTTAATTTTATTTTATATCTATTAATGCTATAAAACTGTTCAGGAAAGGAGGACATTGCTTCCCCCTTGATAGGATATGGATGGTGAAAAGAACCTAGTTATGACATCACAGATAGTGACGACATAGAAGGAA